GCTGTAACCAATCACGTGCATCACACACACTGTACACAATCACATACATACGCACATGGGTAATGCCAACTAGATTTCTTAATTCGCTTCATTTGTCTATCTTGTTCGATGTTACGCATACGCGACCGATGTGAGTATACGAAAGGAATTCCTCTCGCAGTGTTTGTCTTCTGACTTGCCTCTTCAAATTCATTGCAGGATCCGAATGTTTGGGTGTTGCGTATATTGAACGGCGACATCTATCCTCGTAAACGTGTGATATTGAAGGTTGAAGGAAATGATTTGTATTTTTCATCTAATACTTGCTCTATTAGTGCAAGAATTTGTGAGGTCGCATTTAAAATATTTCTTGAATATTTGAAAGATTCTGCTCCATTGGGCGTAATCGTTTCCTCACAAACGCAAATGCTTGAAAAACAATTTCGCGACGTGTTCTCAGTTCAACTCTGAGGGTGGGTGGGCATGTTTTGTCCGACCCAATACAATTCTCCCGAAGCGGTCGACCAATCAGAATAAAGTAGGCACAATAAATGTTATATATAAATGCGTTAGAAATACATTCTCAACTGAATCTGGCGAGCACAAATTTGGACACTGAAAGTAATCACGTATGTTATTCCGTTTCTCGTATGTTGTTTGTTTCCTTCCTGACGTATTAATCATTTTCCGGTGGATATCGATTCAGTCAGACTTTTGGCACTTACCACGTGTGTATCCTGATAAAATGACCGGATGCGTACGGGTAATTTAGCAGAGAATCTGATCGCTTAACGGGGTCTGGTAATTGTATTAAGTAGATGTGGGGCTTGTTAGTTGACCTAGTCCAGGATGATTCTTTTGTAGCATAATTATGATCCTGTTTGAACTTGTTGTTGTTTATCATTCACAATACCAATTGTATTCCTATATCATCCAACTCTCTCTTCCTTATTTCTATGTCAAAAGCAGGTAACCGTTGAAAACAGAGTTTTATAATGCGCCTGAGCAGATGAATATTTAGAATGTTCACTTTGTTTGTGACACATAATAGAGGCAAACAAAGTAGACCAGAGCACAGTATGATATTGTCAGAAAAAATCATTCACTACTCTCATCCTCGATTTTATTTTATTCGAGAATAAAGCCTGAATTTTATGAATATGGTACTCGAGGTCCTTTGATCTTCATGGATAATCGTTTATTTAGTATTTGGGAAGTTTAGGATAAATAATTTGTTTGTGTGTGAATACACGCATTGTTCCAAAGGTGTCGCTCTATTCAGTTTTACTGAAATTATATGTATAGAATCCCACCTAATAGAACTTGCCTTCCCTACTACATTCATCCACCACACATGGGGGGAGTATCCATCACAATATTCCCTAATACTAACCAATTAGGTGTTATCTTTCTCAGATGAATATTTTTCATAATGTTTTCATGAACATCACCTTTTGATGAACTTCAGCAAATGGCAACTTGAATTTTTCAATTTTTGCCCATTTCGTTGGTAGCTCAGCACTTTTAGATCCAAAGCCAACTTGTTAAATTAAATTTGTCAGTTTTGTTCTGTCTATTTACGTATTGACTGACTGACTGACTGACTGACTGACTGACTGACTGACTGACTGACTGACTGACTGACTGACTGACTGACTGACTGACTGACTGANAAGCCGATACGAATGTTCAGACAGTTATTAGTCAAAATACTAGTTACATGTACAAGGTTACAATTGGTAGGATTTAGTTCTTCAGTGGTAAGTAGAAATAAGTTCTTAATAAAGGAAGCAAAAGTGTTGTCTGCTGACACATATTCAACAATGATAGAAGACTCTGAAGAGACAGACGGATCAATATCTGTAGTTTATTTCATCACTGGTATATGGTCAAAGCATTGAGAAATAACTGGCATGCAGGTGATTGAGAAACCATCAGTCAAAACGATTTGAGAGACAAATTTTTCGGAAATTCTAGCATACTATGATGAATTGCACGTCCGTTTCCTCTGTAGTTAGATGTTATGCAATGACCAAATCAGAGATGTTTATTCCCTGCTGAGAATTATTTATAATGCAAACTTTGATATTCCTGCAGACACCTGCCACTGATCAATCTTTTTTGATCAAAATAGGGAACAACTAACAGATTGGACAGAAAGTTGAATTTCCCCATCTCGTTCTTGTATAACCATTGCAAACTGACACATGACGATCTAGGTCCAAAGTGGAATCAAACGAAGACTTCCTCGTGCACCCTGGTTGGTGAATTTTCAGCATGAATCACAAGCTCCAGTGGTGTGAGAGATCAACATGATATAAAGATTAAAAATAAATGATGATTCTTACGTGGACTTTGGTTAGAAAGTTTAAAAGTAATGAGTATGAGGCTAAATAAGGTGTGCACTATATAAAGGACTAGTATTGCGACATTGATTGGACGTATATTCTGGAATAATTTTGATCGGGGAGCGATCATAGGAATTGGAGACATCTTCAGTGATTTCATCAGTGTAAGTCACGGTCGGTATCAGACAATAAGAGTTTGGTAAACTGATCTCATGCGATGAAAACCTCCGGAAGAATGGACTAAACGAGATCATTGCGGGGAAAATAACTGGATTTCAACGCAAATCTTGGTGACTTATCAAGCACTGAGAATTTTTGCATATGGACCCGGGAAAAATGGGAGGATATTAAAACGGCCAATGACACGTAGTATCGACAATGGCAATCTACTTATTAAGAATTTAAGGACATAAAATTAAATCCAATTGATACAAAAAATTTTTCAGAGGACAGAGTGAAAAACTTTCCTTGTATGGAAATTCACTGAAGAAATCAGCATAGACGCAAACAATAAATCCGCCGGGAATAGGAAGATTCTTCATGTACAGGGAGAAAACGTATGGAGACAGATCTAATGTAAATCATGTGATTCTCCCTCCGATCCAAATCAGAATGCTTGTGTTTTGAACCCTGTTAAGGAAATTAATTTTTTTCTATTGCACACCTAGGTGTGATGAACAGCAGACGGGGTAAACCCCATAGCCACGAGGACTTGTTGTTCAGTGGTTGAAATCGGCAACCTAAGCCCCGGAACTTGGAGTGGCGAATCACATAAGGCCCCGATAGGTTAGGCGTGGTATTGAACCGGACGACAGCAGAGCTGCCTATCACCAAAGTCGGGTGGAGGTGGCGTGGCTCGAACCTCGGACCATAGGGTCCAAAGCACGCCGGTGACAGCGACTAAACCATCTCGCCACCACCACCCTTAAAAGGATTAACTGCACGCATTAGTAACAAATTCCAGTACCAACAAAAGAGACGTCTGGTTTTATGAACCGGTTACTTCACAAAATTCGCTAATGCTTGTAAAATCAGACGTGACTTGTAAAGGAATAAATTTAAATTACCTCGCCGCTTGGAAATAAGCATAGTCTAAAAATAAGAATATGTTTCATTAAGTTGTGTATGCCATTTCTCAGACCTCTATCATGCAACGAAAGATAGATAGTGGCGAAGATAGCTCGGTGGAAAAAAACAAGAGAAAATGTCATCCGGCTGCGGGCACAAAGGTTTTCTACTGTTTTCGAATCAAGCCAATTTCCTTTATGCACATGGCGTCCGTGAATTTAATCGTTCTAACTCACACCGTAAGTCAAGCTGATAGTATAACTGAGGGGAATGAAAAATGTCGTCATCATTCCTTCTTATGAGAATAGTACTACTGTGTCATTCTTCTGGAATGCAACTGACTGAACTATACTAAAAAGCTATCGGTCTGCAGGGTACCTTCTTTCATTTCATGTAGAGTGTCAGCATTGTACCTGATACCTACAAAGATGTAATTAAAAAAATGTAGAAAATGTAAAAAACAACTACAGCAACAGCAAAACACAACAAACATCGCTTTTATGCGCTTTACTGTAAGTAACATATAAGAGTTTCTTTATGCATAAAAAGCGCGGCGAGTATTCATGGACACCTAACTCTCTAAATTTGGTTGTATACCTTGAAAGAATTTAAATGTAAGATGAATCGCTCTCAACTGAAAGATGAGATTGGTTCTCTGCGATGCATTTCACAGCGGTAGTTGTTCGTTCGAGTAGTCAATCCTTGATTTAGTTTTTGAAATAATCAGGAAAATGGTACTGGATAGAACCGTTCTCTACCTTCAATGAAACAAATGCTATTCTCAGAATGAACGAAACTCATTGTACATGATTTTTCGATATCTCGAAATGGCATTTCTATTAGTGAATAATCTTTCTATTTTTACANCATTCAATAATGACAGGGGGGGGAGACTACCAAAAGACTTTGAAAAATAGTAGCTTCTACAGAGGTGTGGAGTTGCAGGCCTGAACCTCAAGCATAACACGACGATGGCCGAATAATATATATATATATATATATATATATATATATATATATATATA